ACCTTTCATTCACCAGTGTTGCATGATGTACATCTAATATATAAAAATCTCGTCTTTTTTGTGGTCGAACGTCTCCGAATAAACGTCTGATCGATTGATCGACGTAATTTTGTATATAGTTTACTCTACATAAGATAGGGAACATAGTTTACGCCGTGGGGTTGCATCTAGTAAAACATAATTTGTGAATGTTTAAATTTATGCTTACTTCCTTCTATTTGTATAACGTAGAATCGGTTAACCTTACTTGTTGTTTGCATGTTGTAATTTGTAGCATTTTGTACCAGTCAGCGGAATCACGAACGGGTCCGCCTACTTAGTGCATTGCACCACCAGGGAAAGCAATTTAAGTGTCTCACAGGGCTCCAGTCTTGGTCAACTATTGTTGAATAAATTTCTCCTCTTAGACAGTTTTGATTAAGAGCTGGCGAGTATGAATATTGTTGGAGTGTGATCACTTGAGAGCCAATTGTAAATATTTGCGTTTCTCGGTTCTCGGGTGTGACATGACCACAATATACAACTTTCGACATTACAAATAGGAAAATTCACTTAAAGCGTGTCCGAAGTATGGGTGTAAAAATGGCGCATTATTTGTTCTTTTACATGATTTCGAATACATTTATTTATTATTTTTTCTTGTGGGTGGTGCCGTCCACGCAGACTTTGTCCACCGTGATCTCTTATGCTCATAGAATTTCAGGATTATGATTTGTCAAAATCTGTGATACAAGTCTTGGAGTTTGTAAAATGCACAGTGAACCAAAGCAATAAAAATTTACAAATAAATAAAAGAGTCAAAAAATATCATTGACGGAATAGACTATTCAAGAAATGTACTGGTATAGTGTAAAGTAAGTCAGAAAATAGTACATGAAAATGTAAGTATTAAAACGGTCGACCGAGTTTTTCGTATACAATTTTATTACTACTAATTAGCAAGGTCGTCCCGCTCACGAGTTAGCGTTCCTAATTGTGTTTTTAAAATAACTCTTTTCAACATTCTGTAGACAGCGCAAGTTTATATCGTCTTATAATGTCCATTTACTTTTATTAAAATCCTTTGTAAAAACATTCGCAATAAAAAAGTGTTTAGTTTTCATGTAACTTTCCTTGACTCGATCAGAATCTTAAATACAATGTCATTAGGCGGTGCTCGATTGGAGATATGCTAACCTTTCCTAAATGCCGGTTCAAACAAACATATTCCATTTAATTGCATAGGGTTCTTGGGTTAATTCTTTTACATAACAACCTCACGTTTGGTCGTGCTACGCCGAATAAGCGGAGCTGCGGGCGTTCCTTGTATCCATAGTTAATAATTTCGTGGCTATTACTTTAATGTTTCCTACCCAAACGGTATATTACAGTTTACTTTGTCATTAAACAAAGTATGAACGGTCACGTTTTTAAGCGTTCACTTCCCTAAACAGTATGCGATCTAAGATATGTGTATTTGCAAAAGTGATTGTCAAAATAAAATCTATGTTTTATCTAGCAAACTGCTGGACTGTAGTGATGATCTATGATGCGATCATGAATAAAAAGATAAAGAAGATGTAATGCCTTGAATACTGTCGAAAGCATCTCATAGAAAATAATGATGTCACAGATTTTTAATCTTATTTCGTGATTTTAAAACTTAAGCTATGTTGCACAAAATCATAGTTAGGGTCAGATTTAGAATCGCTAAGTGTTACTTTCGTTTGTCAAAAACGTATTGGATTTTGAAATACGGGAGTGTAGATTCTTGATCTTAGCCTTCCTTATGAAATTGAATTTGAAGAGATAAATTAAGAATGGAAGCAATTTACTTAAACACAGCTGAAATTAAAAAAAAGTTAATAATCTCTATAAATATTATTAATGTCTATTGAATGCTGCAGAAAGTGATCGGCTGCGTAATATTCAATATCAGTGAGGGTTGAGTGGTAGGTCATTTACGTGAAGACACAGGAAATCCACATGTGCCGGTCAATAATTCATCGCGTAACTCAATGGTGACATTGATTAATGGCTGATGATACTGATTTATTGATTGGTTCGATGCGTTGATGATTAAAACTTTCGCTTATGGCCTCCGTCGGTATGTTCATTGATGTTGGGTTTGGTGCGACTGCCGTTAGAAAGGGTATTGCGATGGTATGATCTATTAACATGAAACATATTTCCGCTATAATTGCTCAGTATTAGAAAGTTCTAGGTCTCCCTTTCGTTCATCCACATATTGGATGTGTTTCGTTTGATTTTGATTTGTCAAACGGAAAGATAGATCGTGTCGCGTGTCTATAATTAGACTGTAATATATTGACTTCAACACGTATACCTTATTGTATAGTAACGTATATAGCCGTAATCTTTGCGGCGCCTCCACATCTCCTGGGAATTAAAAAAAAACCTAATTTGAATATATTTCATGAAAATAATATATTTTTATTACATTTAAGGTTAAGATCTCTATATAGAGCATGGATATATATCTTTATGTATAGAATTAAATTCATTTCATTTTTAAATTGTTTTATGGTAGTCTAGAAACGTGGCATTTAGTTCACTTCGTTATAATATTGTTAATAAATTGATTACTAATTAAAAATTGTAACACATTTCGCATTACTTTGTTTAGGTAGTTAATTACTTAGCTGTTGATTAAGTAAGAAATAATTACAGTAGACAATTTATCGCTATCCAAACAGTAATTAATTAAAGTGACAATACAACTCGTGCTACTGTTTCAGTTTCTAGTTATTTATTGCGTGTTTAACACAGATGTTGGATTTTCTAACATTACTAAGAAATATGTTAAGTTATTGAATAATTAATTATACATCAATGGAATTATTATGTGAAATTTTGTTTGTCATACCTATTTAAAATGATATATCTTAACAAATGGATTATGCGGCTCGTCACTTTATTAAACATTAATTCTGATATCTAAACTAAAAACTAACTAAAATATCTTCCAAGTTTATTTGTATGAAGCACCTGATTTGTACATGTATATTTGAAACCTAATACAGAGAATACCTAACTTCAACCCCATACCTAATACTAATAAATATTTACGTGGTGCTAAAAATTTTTTAGCTAAATAAAACTACAATGCAACCCAAAAGGATTGTATTTACGCAGAAATGTTTAAAATCAATTATATTTTATTTTATTTTTAAAGGGAACACCTCGAGAAATTTAACTGTAAATACTATATATAAAAGAATTCGATCCTTCATAAACCACTGATTAACGACTAATAAATATAAATTTATTAGATGTCCTTAATTTATTTAATAATTCAACGTTCCTTCTTTTTTACTGGTATTATGTATTGATCTTGTCTCAAAAATTCCGGGAGGCTTTGACCTCTAAACGTCAACATCTGTTAAAAACTCGATTTTCGAAATATTTCAATTTTCTTAGGGGAAGTAAAAGAAGAATAATAAAAATTGAAAAAATTCAATAATAAACATAAAATTTATTTTAATTCGTCCAGCAAGCACCAACTAGTATAAGATATGAATTTATTGGTCCTTAACTATCTCTACTGGCATTATGTACGTATTGATATCTTGTTCAAATCAGCTTTTAAATACACTAAAATAAGTTAGGTTAAAAAAAAATGGGGGGAAAAACAAAAAAAAATTTAAGTACGGAATTGTCTCTTATTCTCAGCTTTCTAAATAAGTTATTATATTCACTTTTTTATGTTTAATTGTTTTGTCTTATACAATCACGAGGTAAATAATCAGATATCTTTATAACAATGCAAGATAGATGTTTTCTTTAACACACACATATATAGTATGTATGTAATATATCTATTATCCGAATAGCAATTTCGCACATTATCTGGACTTGGGGTGAATTTTAAAAATACCAGTTTGGATGGAGCTTAAAACCTTTATGAAGTTATAGGTTTATTCTGGTTTTTATTTTTAAGGTTTTTTAGTGCTTAAATCTCAAGACATTGGTATTACATGTATTAATCTAGAATAATAATAATCTTTAATCACGTGTGACGTGACGTCAGGTCTTACTATTCATAAATTCTCAATGCAGTCAATTGTTTATTAATGACGATCACTACTGACCTAGTTCTCGATTACCATGACGTTCCTAATCAATCAATTCGAGCTCTCAATCCAATTATATGTACTTTTTCAATCAGATTATATATAAAAATCAGTCGTGTATATTTATATGATGTCAAAAGTATAACGGTGTCTTGTCTTTTCCGTCGTTTTAAGAGATGTATTAGGTTCGTCTGAAATAGGAAGGATTTGTACGTTTGTTTTCGTTGATAATAAGTGCATGCCGAATGCTTTAAAATAATTGGCTCATTTTAATTTATTTTTCGAGAGTAAATAAATATTGTCTTATAACGCAAGTATGAAACGACTCTACATTCACTATAAAATTACGACTGTTCGTGATTTACATAGGTCTAGTTAATATGACACGAATCTATATACACACATATAATGTGTTATAAATAAACATCGTTTACGTTAATAAATTATCGAAAATACAAAGTCGACATTGATGAGTCAAACATCGATTGCAGAGTGCAGTGGACTATCGCACGTGCGAGACGCCTATCTGATTTGATTGGATTGACCAATGAATAGTTTCATTTTGAGGGGTTAAAAAGTACACTGATATGATTTAATCATGTTAATTTTAATTTCTTAGTTATACAATTAACATAATAAGATGTAACCACTTACTGACAGCTTAATGTTCCTTTTAGTTTTTTCGCCATCGGTATAAACATACATTTGGTAACTGTAATACGTAAATATATACCCTAAGCAGAGACTTAGAGAGTACGTGAAGGTATTGTTAGACTGAAAACTTTTGTGTTCTTTTATTATTTGCCGTTTGGCACCGCGGATGCGGTGTCTGGTTATTTGTGGAACATAGTGCGGTTAGTGTTAGAGCTGGGGTTGTTACTCGGTGTGATTGGTGCGCGACGCCAATGCGGCGCCGGCGCGGGCGCAATGTCGCCGCCGCGGGCGCTGCTTGCGGCTCTGCTCCTCTGTCAACTGTTGTCGTACGGTGGCCACCAAGGACTCACCAAGATTTTTTACACGTAAGAAAGTTTTCACGGTGTATAATTGTCATAACCTAAACGCGGAATTGGGCCGACACATTTATGTCTTAATGACAACTTTTCTTTAAATTATATATGTGATATATGCATACCGTTTAAAGGAAATAATAAACAAATAACAGGAACAAATGCCCGAAACAGACCTTGCTGGGGTACGAACCCAAGATAATTTGTTTTTTTTAAAGAGTACCTCTACAAATATTAACTTTATAATACAGTTTCGTAGTTAATGTAAACGTTACCATAATATAAATAATTTAGTTCGTGACTGAAAAACATGTAAAGAATGTTATCATATAATACATCTTATCATTCATCAACCATAAAATGTAATTAATTATTATAAAACACAAAGGTATTTAATAAAAACCTTGATAAGGTATTCTAAACAATTCACAATTTTCTTCTCATTACATACATATTTAATATATATATATATATATATATATATATATTTCACACAAATTGTGTTTTTATTTTGTGAATTGCCATAAAGTTCATTTGTCTTAGAATATAATTATCATTTTATTTCGAATGGTCTTATTTTTACATTTAATTTATAACTTGTCTAAATTATTGTTTTTATCAGTTAAAAATATTTAGACTTTTCGAAGATTAATATGTTGTTTCCATTGTGTTTGTCAATTTCAATTGTCTTTCATAACGATTTATGCGGGAATTCAATACTCCGACTCACATTGGCTTAACTATTCCCGCACTGATTGCCTCAATTGATAGTAACAATAGCATTCACATTTGGAAATTATAAGACTGTCCAATTCCTGAGACTTTACTATAGAGACAAACAATAATGTATTTAACTATTTTAACAAGTCTTTTTCTTTTATTGCAGGTTACCTGACACGGGACAGCCTCCAATACTGATCTCTCTGACAGATAACACAAAACTGGATTTAAAAACTGCAGATGAGCTTTTATTTACCAATGATTCTGAACAGCACAATCAGACCCAAAGGTTCGCCATTGTGGACAACGAAACGGTTGAAGGTGAGAAAACATCGGTAACAGTGGAAAAAGAATCAACGGAACCTCGACTCATTGTAAAAGCTAAATCAATGCATGAAACGAGACAGACAGATGAAAGTATTCAGAGTACCACTGCTATCCCCGAAGCGGAGACTACCGCCGAATCTCAATTAGAAACTGAATCAGTAGAAGACATTCCAATCAACCCGGAAACACCGCAGGAAGATATTCCATCGTTTTCAGAGTGGGCACAAAAGCAATTGGCCGAAGCGGAAAAAAAAGATACAGTACTAAACCACTCCAGTCAACCTAGTCATAGCAATACTAATTTTAGCAGTAAGAGCACTAAGTTGCGGTCAAAAAATTACGCATCACCGGCGTGTGGCGCAAAAATTATCGCGGTAAATCCGGAAGCGGGATCGGCGAGTTCAATATTATCTCCAAACAGAGATGAGTATATGCTCAATACGTGTAACAGCCGCATATGGTTCGTAGTAGAGCTTTGCGAGGCTGTTCAAGCTCAAAAAATAGAAATAGCAAATTTTGAATTATTTTCCTCAACTCCCAAAGACATCGCTGTGTATTTCAGCGATCGTTTCCCGACGAGGGAATGGGCAAGTGTCGGACAGTTTACCGCTCAAGACATGAGAGACGTTCAAAGTTTTGACCTGTATCCACATCTATTTGGCAAGTTTATTAAAGTTGAAATGCTGTCTCACCACGGATCTGAACATTACTGTCCAATATCTTCGTTCAAGGTTTATGGTACTTCTGAATTTGAGGTACTTGAAAAAGAAAGCTCTCAACATTCAGCACTTATTGATGAAGATGAAGACGATGAAATAATTGATGTTCCAGATATACCTGCAACTGAAACGGAGCCATCCAAAAATTTATTCGGCTCTGCAAGAGATGCAGTAATGTCGATCGTTAAGAAAGCTGCTCAAGCATTCAAAACGGAAGTTCCTAAAAATGTGTCCAGTGAACAAAACGATACATTATCAGACAAAGTGTACAAACGGTGTTGCTCTCCAAGCCATATTATAGTGTGTGATAACTGTAGTGACATTCTTTACAGTGATGTGTATGACCTTCTTAGTTGTAGCTCGGACAAATTAACAAATTTAGTGCGAACTGTATTCCTTAGAGATACTTTAAAGTGTACCGGCATATGTCAGAAGTTCGGTTTAGATTTTAAAAGTACAAAGACTATAGAATTTAGTGAGGAGCGTGTAGCATACATGAACGCTTTATTTCCGCCAAAATATTTGGCCGCGTTGTGTAACATTCTCGCTATTAAAGAAAAGAAGGTCGTTCTGAATACGAGTTTTGAGTCTGAATTAAATGTTACCACAAATATAACCGTCGACGAATCGCCTCAAAATCATAGTGAAACCAACAGCGAACAAGATGTCAAATTAATTGCAGTGAACACAGACAGTGACAGAGATGATGAAAAAACATTGATATTAGAAGAGAAACCTACAGTACCTGAAGAAAAAAATGATAGTACTCCGATAGATATAAAAGAAGATAAAAAAGATGATAATAAAGATGAATCTAACGTGGTAGTTGAAGACACGGTAGTGCTAGTTTCCCAAGAAGACATATTACCCGATAGCAAAGTTGAAACTGCTGAAGCAGAGAAACAGGATATATTGAAAACAGATACGAAATACGGTAAACCAGAAATATTGATAGAAAAAACCAAAGATTCGTCAAATAATGCTGAGGATATAAGTGAACCCGCAGTTTCTATTGATGGTGACAGCTTTATATCCGATTTTGATCAGATGGCTGTAGACCCGCAACCAGGCAGTCAGAATACTGTTAATCAGAACCAAGCACAATCGACGATACAGAAGGAATCTGTGTTTCTGCGGCTGTCAAATAGGGTTAAGGTAGGTATTTATTATTATTAGTCTTTAATATTATAATTTGAATTAAATTACAAACTTTACCTACTCGGTACTCGGTTTTGCCGCAACTAGAGAAGTCCTCGACAGAAATATTTGATACGGCTACAGATTACTACATTCCTAATTCATAAAAACCTAAATCAGTCGAATTGCAACGTTACGTACTCACCTGTCATTTTACATCCCAGCGTATTAAATGCATTATTCTTAGACAATATATTCAATCGAAGCCAAACAGTGAAACCATATACATATCTAGTGTATAATATATATGACATAATATTATACTGAAATATTTTTCTAATTTCAGACGCTCGAGCGTAACATGTCTCTCTCTGGGCAGTATCTAGAAGAATTGAGCAGGCGATATAAGAAACAGGTAGAAGAAATGCAGAAATCTTTCGAGAAAACATTGGTACAGATGACAGAAGAAAGAAAAAAAAGCAACGAACGGGAACAAAAGTACATAGAGCAAATGAGCAACTTGCAAGAGCAACTAGCTAAAATGGCCATTAATATGGAACTACTTATGGAAGATCGAGATAGCTGGTTCGGAAACGTAACGTTCTTTAAATATATAGTTTTCCAAGTTTTAATAGTTATAGGAATCATTTATTATCTGTTACAAAAACAAAAGCCAGAACCAGTCATATTGCATGTACCGAAAAAAATAAAGAAAAGACAGGAGAAATTAAGAAGACGATCTGTGGAAGGTGTGAGTGGACATGCAACTCCTGCTGCGAAGAAAAGGCGGCCAAGTGAGGAGGCATTCCAAATTGCAAGACAGTCTACCGAAGATGTAGAAATAGAACATAACAGTGGAGAATGGCAAGTAGCCAAGAAGAACAGGCGACGAAAACCATCAGTGTATCAACAACACATAGAATTTAATACAAATATTAACACAAATCAAGATGAAATCAGAAAGCTAGACGAGAATCCTATAGCGTTAGACGCAAACGAATATTTCGCGCCCATACCAGAACCAGTAGAATTTATTGATGTAAATAAAAAAGAGTTACCAAAAACCAACGGGTCTTTCTTCAACAACTTGAAGAATAAGACTCTGAAAACGAGGCGACTCTCGTCTCCCGCTTTCCTAAGAACTTTAAACAGACAAAGTCTCCGAAGTACTCCTAGTCCCATTATGAGGACTATTGAGCCTATTTTTAACGGAAAAATAGGTAAAAAGGCTGCTTCTGAGTCGCCTACTGGTAGTCTGTGGTCTGAATCCACAGATATTTCACAAAATGGACCACAGTATAGTGAAAACGGTAAAAAGAAGAAAAGTTTAAAAAATATTCTTAAAAAAGTGTTTTAGGACTTAATAATCATATTTCTATGCTATTTGGCTATTGTAATTTATTTCAATGTGGATGTAATTATTGTTAAATTATTGTATATTATTTGTATGAATGTTAGAGCTGTGTAGGTGCCAATTGTGATAAATTAGGGAGCCTAATGATAGTTGTTGAATTGTTTTGTAATGCCGCTTGGGACAATAAAGTAAATTGATCATGGACACTAGTCGAGTGAGCGAATACAAAGAAATGGCATTAAATGCGTTTTATTTTATTTTTGTTGTTTCATTAAGACTCACCATAGCATTTATTCATAGAATATAGATTTGCTTTATATTATTAACAGATAAACAAACATTAAATCATAACTATTTATAAAAGGTTTTAACTCACATTTCTCATATAGTTATTTAAAGTTTGATTATGCCGAAAAAATTGCCAAGAAACGAGTCGATCCTCCAAAATAGCTACATCGTTGTCAAACTATTGGATCATATAGTATATAGTCTTTAAGAATTGCTTAACTTTTGTCTAAGATGAAATTATAGCAAATGTTTCAACTTTTATTCACCTATTCGTACCAAGTAATCAATATCTTATATGTTGCATGATATTACATACTTATGTTATTGTAGTTCTGTGTCTTGACAAACGCTATTATTTTTTGAGTCTAATGTATGCCAGTCTCCTCGCTATGGTTTCGTACTAGAACTACGTAATACGTACAGAGAAACTCCTTTGGCGTACAACCGTGATTCGAAAGCACGACCTCTGGGTTGAAGTGCACGCTAATGGGATCAACATAATTTTTAAACTTTAGCAACAAATTAAAAATATATCAGTATTTTGCATAATTAAAAAAGTGTCAACTTATTTAACGTTGAAATGTCTAACATGTGCTCATTACGAGAACGAGGTAGAATCAATGGGCGTGTTCGGCCGATGTAAGTACTTACTAAATTTAGTAAGTCACTTACTATGCTTACAAAATTTTCGGCCGGGACACAAAATAAGTGCTAACGCAGTAAGTATGGCTTAATATACGACGCCATTTTGCTTATTGTTGATGTAAACAAAACGGACAATAAAATATCCAATAAAATATTTCTCATAAAATTATCCATTTGAAACTATTCACAGGTATTAAATTATATTCCTAAATTTAGTACTGTCAATTATATTCAGTCTATGAGGTTATGTACGGGATATGACATAAACCGGTGTTTTGTGTTATGTTAATAAGCCAGTAAGTCTGTCCTGGCCGAAAAGCGCTACAGTCAGCTTGTAAGACTTTAATTTTTTTTATGCTTACTGGCTTACTAAGTTTAGTAAGTACTTACTTCGGCCGAACACGCCCAATGCATACCTTTAACACTCAATAATAAAAAGGGTGCGTGTACTTATGTACGCGCGTAAGAAGTTATACTTCTTTGACATTATTAAAAATAGTTTTTGATTGCATGCAAATAATTAATTACAATTAAATAATCAAATACTGGAAAAGGGTAATTATAGTCAATAAAGTTCAGTTTACATTTGAAAAATTAAATAAATAAATATTTATTATTATTCTCTTACATTAAGTGTAACATAAATTCTATTATTATTCGAATGTTGTTTTTAAATTATGCCGTAGCATCTTCCGTGGGCAACTTCATTCTGTTAATTTTGTGTCACGGTGCGCGCGCATCGTAAAATATCACTCTCATAAATTTTTCATAACGCGCCTAATGAAGTATAACTTAAAAAAAAACTATATAACTTAATAACTTTATTTAAATATATATACATCTATGTTTCAATAGTAACAGCTTGCAAAAAGTCTTTTAAATCAACACATTTTATTTTAACCAAATTATGCTTCCGCGCAGTTGCGTTTAAATTTTTAGCAGCTTCTTCTAAAACTTCAATATTATAAGGCACATTGCTATTTGTAGCAAAAATTATTTCATTAACTTCTTCATACAGTTTAACCGACGCTATGTGCTTAAAATGTCGCTTTAGCGTTTCAATCATTTCCTCTCGAAGACTTTTATCTCGACACACTAAGTTGAGGATAAAGTGACCTAGAAAATATTTTTAAAATATTATTTAATGGTTAACTATGTCGACATTAGTAAATGCATACATCATAAAACTGATATTTTAGTTTTTAAAAAATATATACTATTGACGTACAACAAAAATTATATTATCTACAAACATCTTAAAATAAAGTTATACCGTCATTCGTAAGTATCCTCTCGACGTGATTCAGTGCTTCGTCCTGCAGAAACTGTTGCGGTGGACATGAGAGACCCAGAGTTCGATCCTTGCTGTCTACGTCAAACATCACGCAGCTATACTGGTGGCCTGGAATTGAAAAAATCTTTAATTAAAAAGATTACAAACAATGGACTATATACCAGTTTTAAAGTTTTTTTAATCCAATAATTATTACTTATTTTATTTATATAATGGGTATGATGATATAATAATACTATTTTTTTGTTTTTATAGTAATTCTTTTTAACTAAATAAAAAAGGGAATGAAATGTACAAATTAAACTTCTCTCTAACTATGATGTAGTTTAGCTTGGGAGCGTTCAAGTACACACGTCACGCAATTTTTAGATTCGTGACCCCCTCCCCATGTAAGCGCCGTAGCGTTTTTCTGTACAAATACCTAATAGTTACGCGGGTCACAGCATTATGTGTGTCAAGTACTGCAAAGTCTTTTTTTTAAAATAACGCGATAATTCAACCCCCCCCCTGTAACGTTTACAAAGGACCCCCTTCCTAAATTCCGTTTTACTGTACGCTCCCTTATTGGAGAGAAACAATAACTATCTATACTAAGCAATATAGACAAAGATACTCATCCGAATCTGTATATATATGTATATAGTTTTATAAATTAACTTACATATCTCAGCCTCTTCCTTCAAGAAATCTAAACCATCTTTAATTTGGACACTCAATCGCTCATCTATTTCCAACTCAAACTGATTTTTGGCCACTTCCAACATAGCTGGGTCCAAGTCCACTGCAGTGATTTTCATTTTTGGGTAGCATTTTTTGAGAAACATACATAGACCGCCTCCACCTAGACCTATTATGGCTATATCTGTTGCCGGGGTCAGATGCAAACATGCACACATAAAGGAATGGTATTGTGATATATGGCCAAAATCAATCACTTGCTTTGTTTTGTTCTTCTTTTTAACTGAAAAAAAAAATATTTCAAGCATGACAAAGATATTGAAATAATACATATTAATTTATCAAATTAATTTAAACTTATACAAGTTATTAGAATTTTAAAGAAATATAATTAAGAAGCAGTATTGATGTAAAATTAAATGCAGAATATATATGTCAGAGATTAGGTTATAATAGAACACGGTGTAATTTGTTTGATTACAATGGCAACACCACGCAATATCATAGACATCTTACAGGTTGTAAAGTGTCAATTGTCAAAGACAAGCTGTAAGTAGTGCGTAGAATCGGTCGTGAAGTGCTAGAGTTGCTTTCCGGTCGGCGCCTGCGCCGGACGTGCGCACTGACTGTGTTTAAATATTAAATATTAAGTAATAATGTAGGACGACGGTAGTGATACCAACTTTGTAATTATTAATCGCGTTGAATCTCCGAAATCAGAAGTGGGATCGATACAAAATTCATCCTGCGTGCCTACCTACCGCAATGCCTGCTACTGGAAATCGTGAATATTTCACACCTAATTATGAAGTAAATTTCAAAATATGATGGCAGGCTTCCAAAATACCTAGAACTTAAAGAACCTTTGGTAAGGACGCTAAAATCTAGTGAGATTTATCTACCGTCGTTTGTTCTGTTGTTGTCGTGGGCTCCATGTTCGTACCCGTTGTGGGTGTGGTGTGTGTGGTGTGTTGTGATCGTACATGGGAAGAGTTTAAGGTCCGACTTGCTCTTCAGTGTGTTGGAATAAGGACGTTTCACGACTTGTTTCGCGATATGGTCGACTATTCGAGTGACCACGCGGTGCGGTGACCTACATTGAATAGGTATTCCACGAACAAAATGGTGCTGATCGACCGGCTGGAGACAAGTTTGGGTGAGTCCAATAAAATTGTGATGTTAAGGTACGCACAGATTTACTTAAAAAATACTCCCGACGAGTTTTGTGTCACATTTGAATACGTAGCCTAACATTAAACCTTAAGTGAAATTCACATGTGAGGTCCGTGGTGAATATAATGCTTCTAAGCACCCTAAAATATGCGAGTTAACTACAGGTCGTTGCCATTTTTTTGATTAGGTAGGATATTTAAAACGACATTGTTTATTTTTACGTATAAAAATAAAAATGAGGGTACCCACCCTCGCACGTCTGTTGATAAATCTAGTGAACAGCCAATAGTTAGTAGAACGCGATGTTCATATTGCCACAAACTTGGACATTCTAATTTTATTTGTTTTATAATGTCACTGATCATGGGGCGGGTTCAGGAATCTGAGGCCTGAAGGCCTGTAGGCTGTAGCGCCACTGATTAATTTATTTTAGAATAAAAATTTAAAGATTGCAATTTACAATCAAAACTGGTCCACGTTTGTACATCCTCTAATCAAAATTTGCATAAGGCAGTTATACTTTGCAAGCACTGATTGACAGTGGTTCAGGATATTCCCTGATTAAAAAGAAGTTTGTAGGGGGTTCCATACCGAAATAACGTTTGTCATTGTTGATTCACATTTGCTGCAGTATGACGTAATCTTAGGTAGAGAGATATGTAAAACACCCGGTTTGATGTTTACCCTTAATAGCGACGGCGCTAAGATTTTACGCGATGCTAGTGTCAATGCGTGTCGTGCTTTAAGCATAAGTACAGAGTTGGGTAAATTTTGCACCGACTTAACTGAGCGTAACGATATTGAAAGACTAAGGGCTATTGTGACAAAATATAAAGGAAATTTTACTAGTGGAAATTCTAATACTATCGTTAATACAAATTAATAAAAAATATCTTAACAAAATTGTACAACGTCATCCGTAAAGGTTGGCTCCTTCTGAACGTAGCGTAATGCGTGAGATTATTACTGATTTGGAACGAAAAGTCCGTGCGAGCTCTTCGCCTTTTTCTAGCCCTGCATTTCTTGTTAAGAAGATAGACGGGTCGACCGTCTTTGCGTTGATTATCGGGAACTTAACTCCAATACCGTGCGTGACAGTTACCCATTGCCATTGATATCGGAACAAATTGATGGTCTTGTGCGAGCATTATATTTCTCCAATTTAGTCGTGGCCTTTAGATTTCATCAGATATTAATAAGATGATAGGACGTTGTTTAAAAGACTGCGTTTATTACTTTATTATTATTAATAATTAATAATAAACTTGACAATAATAAAATATAATTATAAAACAATTCCATTCAATTCGAATTCGACACGTAGATTACTTGTGCCGTAACCCTTATAATTGCAAGGAAGTAAATGCTTCGTGTGTGAGTAATGAACGGTTGTAAGCCGAACAAAAGTTAGAATCTGACGTCAATTGAATTATAGAATTGATAGAAAAAGATACTATTGAAGCTAACCTTCGGTCGTCTTATACAAAGACAATAATTTGTTGTATAGGAATTTTCAAGTTCATAGCAAAACTTTAAGTAGCGTCATAGTCCCCAAACATTTTCATTGGCAATTAATCCAAAGGTTTAATGGTGAACCAAAACATACCATTTCATACCATACACATGGACACGAGCGGAAAATTAATTGGTGGTAGGATCACAAAAGAATATGTGATTGTTATTATTGAAGCATTCATAAAGTTTTGTCACCCAACTTCTGTCATAGATTTAACTTCGAAATCTACTTGCGAAGCCCTTAATAGCTTTGTCCATATGTTCGGAACACCTAAGCGTATTATATCAGATTAGGGCACCTTATTCACGAGACAAGATTTTTAAAAACTTTGTAAAGAATGGTCTATTGAATTACATGAAATCGCCAGTGGCGTCTGTCGTGGTAACGGGCAAGTAGAGCGCCTAATGTCCGTTTTAACTCATTGTTTTACAGTCACTGAAAATCATGAAAACAGGTCTTGGAAATCTGTTATCGGTAAAGTTCAATTAGTTTTAAATTGTACTGTTTCGAAAAGTACGGGTAAGAGTACGGGGTCCGTTTCAATTATTATTTGGCTGTTACAAGAGTCCACCTAGAGTGAACTCTATGCTATAGATCTTCATACTAGTGAGAATCAGGATTTGATAGAAGTAAGACAAATAGCTAAAAGTAGGAATGAATTCCGTATGTTCAAAATGGTTTATTAATTAGTTAATGATATGACATATTTGTTATTTAATAAAATTTTATTATTTAATGAATGATGGGTATGAGAATTTTCCATAATAAACAATAAGCGATAATTTAACAGCACTGGTACGATAGCTTTGGCAGATCTTGACTGAGAAACTGTTACAAGAGGAGTTCGTAGTGATGGCAGATTCCAACACTTAGGTCCCTTCTAATTCGTACCTGAAGTCACAATTTCGTCTAGAGCGCTGTCAAATATGTCAAACTTCATGCAGAAAAAATGGGTTGACAGTTCTTGAAACTAGATTTAAATTTGATTAACTTTCTAGAATGAAATATGACCTAGTGCTTGTATCGCTTCAAAATAGGCTTTAATCATGTATATTCAACGCTTCCTTAGTAACGTAAGGTGTAAGTGTTCAATTAGCTCCAGCCATACCAAATTTATACCAAAGTCCGCTCCGCTATCGGAGTTAAGAATGAATAGAAATGTCATTGTGTCGCTATAGTAATTGTACCTGTTTTAAGCTTCGCCTCTGACTGCACAAGAAATTGGTTATCCAAAAATATAAGTCTTTTGAAGATGTCTTCGCCCACATCCACTTCCTCCACCACGAACTCTCCTGACACCTTCGAACTGCCTTCATAAACTTTCACACGACGACCAACGTCACTACCTAACGAGAGAAACGGAATCTGAAACGCCAAATACGAACTTAATATATTATTTAAAAAAAAGTATCAAGACCAGAACTTTGTAACCTTTTCTACAATTATGGTTACATTTAATTTTATTTAATCTAACGAGACAAACGGGCTGTAATGCCTGCACAGATGGACCTCTCCGGTAGACCATAGTGTGTATGGCCGGCATTAGCTCACCTGATCTTAAGTGATATCGCATTCTTAATGCCAAAGGGCTCGCGAGTGCGGTGCCGATCTTTTAAGAATTGGTGCGGTCTTTTCTTGAAGGACCCTAAGTTGAAATGGTTAGGAAATAAATAAAATACTGTCTTAAAAACGCTTAGTTGTGGAAAGACGGACGTCGCGGTGATACACCTCATCTCTGAGACCGGGTTCCAACCCTAGCTGTGCACCAATGGACTTTCATGTGCCCGACGCAAAAACAGTCGACGGCTTGTGTTACGCACAAAAGGCTGATCACCAAATTGCCTATTAGAAAAAAAACAAAAGATCATGAAACAGATACAAAGGCCCTGGACCCTGGCCCCAACTCAGGACCTTAAGAGATAGCGCCACTGTTATTTTTTATGTACTCAAAAAATGTAAAACCGCTTCAAACATAAAAAAGAGGGGGACTTCCACATTCCTAAACTCTTCCTACCTGACCACTAAGTCCGTTTGGTATGAGCATCTTCGCGGACTGAGCTAATTCCTCTTTCACAGCGTCGAGACTTTCAAAATGGTGTCCTCTTCTCAACACAGCTACGACGAGTCTACTAAAACGCGCCGAATCCTGCAATTGCCTGCGTCCTGTTGGTGTACCGAACAACCACTCCGACTCTCTGGAATTAAAAGGTGGTTTCTCAAATATTTGTGGACTTTAATAACGTTGTGGTTTATGACATTTTCCTTTGAAAAATTTTAATGTAGAGGGAGGGTAAAGGTTCCTGTATTTCTTGCCCGTTCTTCTCGGAGGCCTTCTGGTAGATTTGCGAACGGATGGCTTACCTTGCTCTTTCGCGAATTTTGTAAACGTTTTTGACATTCATAAGCATGCTCTAAGACGCATCAAAACTGAATTAACGTATTTTGATTGATTTGATTTGCTCTCACTTTAAATAATGGTGAATAGCTTTTATTTTAATAAACGAAAAAAACGGTAGATTATTTCAATGGTAAATATGCTTGGAAATGATTTATTAATTTCCTGTGTATTTGTTCTGTTCTGACATCGTGAAATATTGTAAGAGATTGCATTTTTGTCTTAAAATTTAATACACATTCGACAAAAATAAAATTGATGCCACACGACAGCTATGGCTTTAAACCTGTGTATTTAATATTATATATATTTTTATATTTAAATTTCTACATTGTCGCATTGGCTGTATGTTTTTTTTATGAATAAATAAATTTATACACATAAAAAAAAGAAACAAGTTACACAAACTAGAACCAAAGTGGTGTCTGGATTATAGGTTCCGATGGCGTGCACAAAATAATTATGATGTTTACATAAATGACAAAAATACAAAAGAACCAAGTGGCTTCAGCGTGCGACTCTCATACCTGAGATCGTAGGTTCGATCCCCGGCTGTGCACCAATGGACTTTCTTTCTATGTGCGCATTTAACATTTGCTCGAACGGTGAAGGAAAACATCGTGAGGAAACCGACATATCTTAGACCCAAAAAGTCGACGGCGTGTGTCAGGCAGGAGGCTGATCAGCTTGCCTATTAGATTTAAAAATGATCATGAAACATTCAGAAATCTGAGACCAAGACCTAAAGGTTGTAGCGCCACTGATTTATTTTTATATATTTGCATAAACATCGAAATTTTGCGCTTAACACCATATTGGCAAAAACATTGATACCGAACAGGTACAAACAACTTTATTAGCGAACTGTATATGTTTCGGTCTAAATTTAACGGGCAGAGTGCGTAGGAGTGCCCAATGTAATAATAGAGAACGATTCAAAAATATGATAAAACAGTTTTAGTTTTTACATGTTAACAAAATCTATAGCTTGTCAAATTCTGTCACTGGCAAATTATTTTTGAATTTATATAGCCCCACGATTACTTAATGACAAAGGAAGCGTTCAAGTATTACGTCACGCAATTGTTGGAGATTACTGACCCCCCCATGTAATGCGCCGTAACGTTTTTCTGTACCCAAATACAGTCTGTACCCAAGTATAGTAAAACGTTTCGTGATCACCTAGTGACTCTTTATACCTAAAAGTTACCATTATATGGTGTAAAGTACTGGAAAGTCGAAAATAATATTAAAAATAACGCGTTATTCAATCCACGCCCCGCATCGTAACGTTGTACAAAAGGATAAAATTCCACCAATTAACGCTCCCAAATATATTAATTTAATTTAATAAATTTATTTTAATAAATATATCTAAAACGGATACTAAGTAAAACTATGGATTTTCTGAATTATTTGATATATATAACATATTTAACGCAAACATAATAATATTTTAAATTCTCACTAAGTTTTCTTTAAATATGTAGTAATCAAAAACAACTTTAATCATTATATAATTAAAAATTAAAAGAATATACTGTTATTTTCGAATATTCGGAACCCTACCCTATTTAAACTTACATCAATACGAAATTATCAAAAAACACTAAAATATTCCTCACAAAACAGTGCACTTTCCAACTCTTATACAGCAAATGTTGTGTTTGTTGCAGTGTGCGCACAATTTAATGATAGAATACACCTCCGCAGCGACTACGATTGGCCCAAAAATAAGGCGTGGCACGCATACTACAGAAACAGTGGAATCGCTAATGTTAAAACTAATTTAATATATAATTATCTTATATATGTCAGATACGTATCTGTTTTCTATATGAAAAGTATTTAGAATTGGTTCAGCCATACGCAATGTAATCACGATGGACATGTTTATACCGTGGTGGTGCCTGGGATTAAAACCAATTTGTCTTATCCCTAAACTTTTGCCGGACTTGTGTGTCAAGGCTTATAAAGAATATTATTAATAAATTCAAATTTATCTGGAACTTTAAACATTGTAGTTCATAGTATGTATTTGCGAGTATGGTATTTTAATATTAAGATAATATTCAACATGAACATAGAAATAGCGGTAAAACATTAATGTTACATTTGCTTTCAGTTTAGCCTTAAAATATGTTATTGAAGTGAAACTTCTTTATCGACGTATGAAAGAAATTTTGTACAAAATCGTCACGTTTTTAGGTTACGCGCCATGTTGCTTTTTTATCAAAGTTTAGTATAGTGACGTTAAGAATATAATATAATATGATAATAATAACAACAATATATTAGTTTTGAAGTTTGGTTTACAATAAGAATAACAATATATTAATTTGAAAGTGATAAAAAAAACTTGAGAGGTCAAGGGACACCCGGATGGAACGAAGTAATAAAGAATTAATTAGTGAAGGAATTATAAAAAAAATATTTTTTTTAAATATTTTTTTTATTTATGAATTTTTTTAAACACTTAAAGATTAGTTTGCCACAGAAGTTTCACTTCTGACATGTGTACTTTGTACACACACACACTTTTTTATTTAAGATATACACTCTATGTCTTTTTGTTCTTTTCAACACCGAATAACGGGCACGTATCCAAAGAAGCGTGTTAGTAAATATTATGCAGATCCTTCTGGACGTTAATAAACAGCTATATTCATATTCTAATTATAGATGATACAAAATGTAAGACAAATTTATTATGATAATATAATATTCACTCAAATAAGTTATTGCTTTCATTATAAATTGGGTTAACCAAGTCTGATAAGTTCGATAATAATTAAGATATTATAAACATGATATGCAGATTTTACAAACAATATCTTGTCTGTTATATTATTTACCACAATAAATTTGCATTTCTTAACTTAAAAAAATTATTTCAAATATCAAATATTTTACCTTCCCTGCGGCACAATAAATACAGCATATTTGTTAACAGCTTGCGATTTTTTCTTATCTACAACATACAGAGTGTAGCGGGGAGTATCTTCCCCAGGCATCATAAGGTTAAGGGACACCTGTAAAAATGAAAAACCTACATCTTCAATTGTTTTAAGCTTTTCCTACTGGCTAAACATATAAATATACTTTATCTCTGTTCCTTCTCTGGTTTCTACCATATTTTATAATCTATTAAATCATAAGAGTCATATAGATAGCATAAATGATTTATTCAATTAGATTTAACAAAACCTAACCTTTAATACATAATAATATTTATGCCTTCAAAAGTTTTTAATAGACAAAATACGTAGTTGGTCCCAAAGTTCTGTCACTGGCACATTATTTTTGAATGTTTGACTTTTGTTTTAAAACAAAAAACAATGCGTTGCACCGCTGTGGGCACTCGCCGAGTACCATTTTCAAGTTGCTCAAAATTTTTAATATAACGCTTAGGTTTGTGTACCGTACTATTGATAGGTACAATGAAGTCTCCAGTGTTAAGGACAAGAAAAGAACTAGCCCTAGCGTACAGAGTAGTATGCTGTACGCTAGGAGTTTTGAAGAAGCTGGAAATAAAGTTCCGAGGGTGAATCATGGACATCATCCATCATCAGTAATGGTCTGGTTGGGAGTGTTCTATTACGGGCCAACTGAGGTTCATTTTTGCGAAAAGGGGTTCAGCAAGAATTTGCACCTGCACACAAAGCCAAGACCAATCAAGCCTGGTTTGAGCCTCAAAACATTGACTTAATAAGACATGAGTATTGGCCTTCCCTTAGTCCAGGACCTTAATATTTGGCAGGTCTTAAAGAGGAAGGTCTGTGATAAACCCCATAATAATTTGGAGTCTGAAGTCATCTTAAATAATTTTATGCTATTTCTATTCCTTAATTAATGTACTATAAATTGATATATCACTCATTAAAAACTGATCAGTACTTTTGTTTCTATCATTATTCCCATTTATGACAGAATGTTGGGACCGACTATGTAGTTTTGTTCATTTATCTGTATATTATATAAGGATTGTAAGTTATGAAGTGAGCAGGTATTGTTATTTTTTAGAATTGTATGCCTTTTTAATTTTATTTGATTGAAACCAAATCAGTATATATGCTACTACTATTTATCTATGGGCTATCTATAATCATGTTTAATTAAATTCCACTTTACCTCATCATCCTCATCGAGGCGTGATTTCCCCAAGCTGTTTGTGATAAATGCAGTGTCTTGAGCAGACTTCACACAACTAAGTAACTCTTCTGGCGATTTAAGTCTTATCATTTTTTCACCAGCTAAACATACTTCTAAAAGCTGAAAATATGAACAAAACAAATAATGATCTCTTCATATAATGTGTTTTTGAGTGTATATATAGCACATTCTGTAAAAAAGCATATCTTTAGATTTTTAGAGTAAAAGTTTTTCCTATTATGTTTTTTTGTAGAAAAATCTTTATATTTACATACAATTTCCTGGACTCATTCAATAACAAACACTCTATAGGTAGTAGTAATACCTTGAGTGCTATATGGTTACCAGTAATTTCAAACCTATAAAGATCTTGCTAAGAAAGAAAAGTTATATGAACTTATGTAGATTAATGTAAAAAAAGAACAAACCAAGTTTGGCATCAGTTTGAACTTAGTAGCAATAACTACAAACACTGGCAATGTTGTTCCATCACCATTTTCAATATTTTTCTGCTCAGCTTCATGACATCTAACAACTCTAAACATCCATGATTTATCAGAAAATACATCAACTAGTTTCTTTAAAATATGACTCTGAAGAAGAGATATACATATAAATCTTCCACCTGTTTTTAATATTCTCTTCATCTCTTTAAAGTAATTATCAATGTTTGCTATAGTGTCTTCAGATTCATCTGGCATTAAAGCATCCAATGTACCTTTATCAAGTACCACATTAAATTCATCATCTTCAAATGTTGTTTTCATAGCATCCATACAGGTAAAGGTCATTTCTGATCTTGCCACATTTATAGCCTTCATTTGCCTAATTACAACTTCTGAGACATCTATGTTTGTTATTTGTTTCAATCCAACATCATAAAGATCAGCACTAAGACTAGAATTACCACAACCAGGGATTAATATTTTGTCCGTCTGTTTAATGTATTTATGTAAGTATGTACATAGTTCTACATATTCCCCGTACCTGCAAAATAGTTAAATAAGTCACAAACATGGAATTAACTTGTAAGATGTGCAAATCTAAAGTTAACCTACCATTCAAAAGCTTTGTTTCCACGTTTTTTGAAAAACTTATTCCAATAATCTTTATCACTAAATTCTTTATGGCTTTTTGGAAGAAGGTTCATTATTGTAATTTAAAGATGAAGATATAATACTAGGTAGGGAATTAAACGAAAGCAAGAAATAATCATTAGTAAATACTTTAATGCATATTGCATATTCTATACAAAATAGTGTTTTAAAATGTTAATGTCAAAGACTAGAAAGACTACACATGAGTGACAATTGAGTTTTGAATTAAAGGTAATAGAATTAATACTTGACAGATAGAGTCTTCTAATGGTGCGTTCCACTAAGCGCTCACGTCGATCAAAATGCTCTTTAAAAAAGAGTTAGCAAGTTAGCCATTCTACATAGACCGACCGCAAGGTCGTTGTGGTCACGGCGAAAACGTCACTCATGACGTCATGACTAATTGATTTATTAATAATTAAGCTCAGGGGGGGGGGGGGGGGGGGGGGGGGGGGGGGGGGGGGGGGGGGGAAAAAAAAAAAAAAAAAAAAAAAAAAAAAAGAAAAAAAGGAAGGAAAAAAAAAAGAACAAAAAAAAAAAAGGGAAGGGGGGGGGGGGGGGGGGGGGGGGGGGGGGGGGGGCCCCCCCCGGGGGGGCGGGGGCCCGGGGGGGGGCCCCCCCGGGGGGGGGGGGAGGGGGGGGGGGGGGGGGGGGGGGGGGGGGGGGGGGGGGGGGGAAAAAAAAAAAAAAAAAAAAAAAAAAAAAAAAAAAAAAGGGGGCCCCCCCCCCCCCCACCCCCCACCCCCCCCCCCGCGGCGGGGGGGGGGGGGGGGGGGGGGGGGAAAAAAAAAAAAAAAAAAAAAAAAAAAAAAAAAAACAAACCCCCACCCCCCCGGGAAGGCCGGAAACGGGGGGGTGAAAAAAACCACGGGGCAAAAAAAAAAAAAAAAAAATTTAAAAAAAAAAAAAAAAAAAAAAAAAAAAAAAATACCTCTTTTTTTTTTTTTTATTAAAAAAAAGGGAAAGGGGGGGGGCGGGGGGGGGGGGGGGGGGGGGGGGGGCCCCGCGCGGGACCCCCCCCCCCCCCCCCCCCCCCCCCGCCGAAGGGAAAAAGGGGGAGGGGGGGGGAAGGGGGGCCGGGGGAGGGGGGGGGGGGGGGAAAGGGGGTTTAGAAGAAGGGAGACGAACACCGGCCGGAAAAGGCGGGGGGGGAAGGGGGCGGGGCGCGCCCCCCCCCCGCACAAAAATCTTCTCTTTCCCCCCCCCCCCCCCCCCCCCCGCGGGGGGGGGGGGGGGGAAACCCCCCCCCGGGCCCGTGGCCAAAAATTCACGCAGCGCTCACAACGACCCATCTAAAGAGGTGGGTCGTTGTGAACGTTGAGAATAATTTGGCGCAATTTTTGAAATTTTATTTTGAAATATGACAAATAATAATATTATTATATTCAAAGCTTAAAGATGGCGACAAGAAAAATCACATTATTTGATTCAGAAAGAGAAATTGTTGTAGATGTTATCGTTTCTGAAGCTGAAGCTGCTCGTGCAGAAAGAGGTAAATATAATTATGCAATATAAGTTTAATACAATTGATTTTAGTTTATATTCAACAGCTATTTATACATTTTTCCTGAATAATTGATAGCATAACCTAACTCAATGTAAACGATATTTATAGGTATATTTTCATTAATAATATATTATATATATTTGGTAAATTTATTTTATTTGCAGATGTATTTTTTGCAACTGAGCTATTAAGAAAAGCTGAACATCTGTACAAGTAGATCAAGAATTTATTGAAGAGACTTCAGAGAGTTTTATCGAAGAACGGCTTGATAGTGATAATCTCAACTCTGAAACTCTACAATTTGAAGGTTTAATGAACATCTGTAATTCTATTATCATTTTATTTCATATAATATATTATGCGAGAATTGTAATTATATTTTTTTTTTGCACAGGAGAAACTTCAGTATTCAGGTGGAACTCCCCCTGCGTATTATTATTATTGGAATTATATAGGTCTATGGAAGGAACTCTGAACAGTGGAAAAATTTCTCAAAAACAAGTATGGAATAAAATATCCCAAGATATGAAAAAAAAAGGATACGATGTGACCGGACCGCAATGTCATTCTAAAATACGAAGCCTAAAAAAAACATATAAATCTACTAAGGATCATAACAATAAGTCAGGAAATAATAGAAAGACATGGCAGTTTTACGATGTTAGTACAAATTACTCAATATTTTCATAAATTTTACATTTACTTGAATATTTTATAAAACCAATAAACAATTTTCTTATTCATGAAATATATTTTATATAATTAATTTTTATAATATACTTTTGGTAGATTATGGATGAAATTTTTGGCAAAAAAGCATGGTGCAATCCAGTTGCAGTTGCATCTTCTACTGGAACTGTCTGTCATTGAAAGAAGCAGAAAATAATGATAGTACAGCGGGATCTGATAGCGGATGTTCACTAAGTAGGTTGATTATGTGAGATAATTTTAATTGTCTACAAAAAAAACTAATTTACAAATTCAATTTCATTCTAGAAACAAGGAAGGCGTCGATAGCATCTTTACTGGAAAAAAGATTGCATCAAAAAGAGGAACATGAAGAAAATAAAAAAAAAGACACTTAGAGCGAATGAAAATGGACGAGAAATTTCTTGAAGTTTTAGAAAAATTAGCCAACAAATAAGAATTTAAATGTTAAATTAAAAAAAATTAGTTTGTAATAATTTGTAAATATAAAAAATTTTATTTCAAAAATCCAATGATCATACAACTTTGATAATTTTCGGTCCTATAAAACTATTGTGATTACTCCTAACAGGATTTATGATGAGTTTTCTACCAGTTTTACAAGGAATTCATAATAGCATCTCTTTTAATAACTCCTGCAATTCTCCTGACTTCACGTGAATAGTTTCCATTATTTTCTACGTTTTCTTGATTATGTTCAGGGATAGTGATTACATTTAACTCATCTCCTTGTAAAATGCAGATATTGTGGACGACACAGCATGCAATGATGTACTCTGCCATTAAATCGACTCTTGTCATTGGTAGACAATGTAATAAACTCCTCATGCGTCCTTTTAATAATCCAATACATCGTTTAACAGTCACTCGTGCAGCTGAATGACGATAATTATAGTTTCTTTGTTTTCCAGTAAAATGTCCATTATCTCGATACGGAGTAAGTAAGTGTTGATGTATTTCATACGCAGCATCGCCTAGCATATGGCAATTTTCTAAGAATTTATCATCATCATTTACGTAATCTGCAACTTCTGATAAACGGAAAACTCTCTGATCATGAACAGACCCAGGATGTCCAGCATAACAATGAGTTATCAGAGTCTTGTGATCACATACGATCTGTAGAACATTTTAACTATATGTAAATTAATTTTCAATACTAAAGTTAGTAGTGTGCTTTAAAATAACAGTCGCTAAATACCTGTAACTGAATAGAATAAAATCCTTTCCGATTAATATAATCTGCATGATTTTGTTTTGGACCATTAATACGAATATGAGTACCATCAATTGCCCCTATTACTTTTGGAAAGCCACTCGCTCTTTCAAATCCATGCATCACTTCTATAGCACGTTCCCCCGTAGGCCATTGTATAAATCTTGAGGATTTTATAAATAAAGCGTGGCAAACTCGACGTACAGCTCTCACAGCAGTGGCTCGTCCTACGTTGAATCTGTCACAAACTGATCTATAATAAAGATAAAAAAAAATTATAGTTGTTTTTCATACTTCTCAATTATAGTATAAATACATCCAAAATAGTTTATTTTTTTATAAAAGTGACCTATATGAATCCATTGTTGCCATTTTCCAAAGGGCTATCATTAATTGATGATGAGATGGAATTGTAGGGCACCCAGGGACATGTCGAACCAAATTTTCTTCTATTATATCATGTAAATAATTGAATGTGTTCCTTGAAATTCTAAAAAAATAAAATATAGTTAAATAAATTAATTATATGCTTCGCCGAATGAAAGGGTCGCTTAGCTCTCGTCGCGGTATACGGTGTCGTGGGGGTTGGCATCAACAAGTATAATCTACGCCTGCAATTAAACAATATTTTAAAATGTACAGTCTAATGAGATAGAAAATTATGTACCTGAAATGACTTTTAAATTCTTCATCCGAATAGCGAAAAATTACATTTTCATAGTCAATAATACGTGGCCTAAGTTGTCGGTTTTCACGATTATAGTTTTTTATAATTGCATCCCATTCTTCATCTGAGCTAGATGAACTAGTTTCTGGAGCTTTATTGCGATGCATAAGCAAATATCCAACTGCCGTCAAAGCCATTTCGATTATATTTAAACTTAAGTTGTTTGATAACTTCACGAAAATTATTTATAAAATATTCAATTATTCTTAACTTTTAACATAAATAACTTTAAGTCACAAATATCAAAACTTATTGTTTATGATTACCTAACCTCCTTAAAATTCTACTATTTTCAAACTTGACATTTGTAATATTTACATGAACGCCCGAAACGCTCCATAATCCATTCCACTTGAGTTAACGACAGTAACATTGACAATCAAGTGGAATGGGGAAATCAGCGGTCGTGAGCGTCGTGAGCGTCGTGAGCACTTAGTGGAACGCACCAGTTTCTGCTTCTTTCTGGAACGATTTATTATAAATTAATTGACGGTAAGGTTAGTCAAAGATATAATAGTATAATTGGTAGTTATAGTTTGGTTCAGTTATACGATGGTTAAATTACCCATTTAACTAAGTTTTTAGAACCAAATGTCACTATGTACTATTATAAATAGTAATGGGCGTTTCTAATCGGTCTAACTAAACTTAATTAAAATCACACAGCATTTTAATACAAGTTTCCGCAAGATATTTGCTGTCCAAATCAGTTGCGAATTTGATTGTTTTTGCTTAAATTATTTTAAAGACAACTTTTGTTATGCATATTATGGTATAGTGAACTTACATATTATGTTAACGTAAAATTGTAAAAACCGTTAGATTGTAATCTATCTCGCGAGATTATAAACTGTCGAAAGACATAAAGTTGAAGCTGTTGCCAAAAAGTTTAAAAAAAACTGTCGAAAGCGACGACTACCGCCACGGCCACCGCGACCTACACGACTTCCACGACCACCACGACTACTGCATCACCTAAACCAACATCCACCAGTATAGGATTGATTTTAATTAGCATAAATTATTAGCAAATTAATGTTGGTATGTCAATTAAATTAATGCAAAATAGCATTATAATGCACTTCACTAAGGAAATTGAAGTGCATAAAAAGTGCAATTATTTTCCAATATCATAATCAGGAGACATAAATAAACACATTACACCATGCGTAACAAAAAATTGCAAACATATTTTTTCGTTTGTACAAACCCTTATTTATGACGTTTGTTCTAACGTCCGTGGATACCGCACTGTCCATAACGATAAACCTGTGGAACACCTCAATATTATTTGGGAATCTTAAATCATCTTAATGTATTTCTATTTGGAAAAGGCATGAATATGCTTATGAAGGACTCTACATTCATTTTTAACTATTAATTCACTAAACAGACGTAAACAAATCATCAAAATCAGCCAACAACTTCTAAGAAACCATTTTGCCCTTGACAAAAATATTTTAAAGTTGAAATTAAACTCAATTTAGCATTTAAAACTATATAACCTTATCATAACCGTAAAATACAAATATTCAAGTTTATTTTGATGTATGATAATTAAAGAAATATAATATAAAACTAAAGTACTTACGACATAATTGCTGAAACTCCGAAACACTTGTTCCCTAAATTCACAAGAACAAGTCAATTGAGTTTAGAATTTTTTTTGAAGTTATACTTCTTTAGGCGCGTTATGAAAAATTTATGAGAGTGAATATTTACGATGCACGCGCACCTGTGACACAAAATTAGGAGTGTGATTATAGCGTGCGCGAGCGAGATAGGAATAAGACAATCTACAAGTAAAAAGAAATAGAATATGCGTGAAGTTCGTATGCCAAGAATTTTGAATGACCATAATGACATTTGTCATTTACCTTTTAAACAAATAAAGGAGTTTTAATTATTTTTTCAAAGAAATTTAGCAATGCTTTTTGAATTATATATAATCAGAAGTGGTTTAAATTGAATATTTAAACCAATACTAATTAATATTTGTGAAAAAACTGTGCTCATCAACCTTCCTAAGTGCTTCATTACAATTTAGGTTAACTATCAGTTTGTATTATTATTATCGAGTAATGTTTTGATTAAAAAAATTACCACATTGTTTAATCAAAACATGTAATTTTTCTCTAGCAAATATAAGGACAAGAGACAAAAAACAATTGATGAATCAGTGTAAGTGCACTAAATTGAATACAAAAAAAGAGTTGTCATCTTATCGCTGTGAAACATCAAAAACTGGAGGTGGAACAAAGCCAAACTATTTTTAATAATGCCAAAGAAGTATAACTTCTTACGCGCGTACATAAGTACACGCACCCTTTTTTACTTTTTTTTATCCATGTACGGATGCCGCCATTATTTTTTTGGATACTGTGAGAGTGGCTAGTGGTCTACTATAAAGCCGACAAGCCAGCCAAGACACAGATTAATTTTATTTCCACAACAATTTCATATAACTTTTCACGTTCACTTTCAACATCCTAAAGCTGTGAGTTACTTTCAAGACGACATCAATTTACATTCACCAAAACACCGTTTGTTTACATTCGACAACAAACGAATTAACAAACAAATATGGTCGCCACCATGGTATATTCCGTTCAACCAATCAGCGCGCGAGGTGCGTACCGTTTCACAATTTGACGATTTCACTTCGATAGATTATAATCTACCGAATAATAATACGTTAAATTGTAAGCAGTACGTTGAGTTCACAATCATTCCACAGTTTATAATCTAACGGTTTTTACAATTTTACGTTAACATATATATATATATAGTGCGTGCATTGATGTGTTCTTTTTTACAGGTAAATCCTAAAATCTCTCCCGTGCCTTAGTCCTAGATCGATCGATTGTTGCGAATACATTGACATCATGATTCATGATCACAAGTTAGTAATAAAAAACCGTCGTTGAGTGTAGTCTGTGTATTATTGATTTGCTGCGACAAGTTTGTGCCTGTGGTTGTGACGATTTTAGATGTACGAAATTGGCCTAAAGATACCAGGCGGCCATAAACTCCAAAAAAAAAATTTATAGATATACGAAAATCGTAATATTATGTGTTTTTGATAGCCTTATTTATTTTGGTTTTCAATTACAAGTCGTCGGAAATATCTGCGAACCTGGCTTAATGACGTCATACAAACTGGAGAGATAGCAAAAAAATTGAAGATGTAAAAATAAAAAATATTTTATTTGTGTACTTATTTTTATTGATATATTATAGTCCTACCCATCTTACATACAGCACTAAATAGGTAGTTTATGTAATATTTCACCAAACAGAGAAACAATAAACACTAAAATGCGATTACGAAAGCAAGAATAATACACGTGCGTCGGCGATTGCGTTGGCAACGGTACTGGATAGGCGAAAACGGGGCGGGGTGCGGGGAAGCGCATTCCAGCGAGGTTCGCAGATATTTCCGACGTGTAATACATATTAGTATTAAATTAAACATGAGTTCCTTAAATTTCTTCCTGTTCTAGTTCTGATGTGATCATGATTATTTTAGACTTTAACGAATGGAAATCGTGGTTCTACCACAAATAATCAACGAAGCAATGAGCACTAAAAAAAGACAAGTGGGAGGCTTTGGCCAAAGTAAAATCATTTGATTTAGGTAAATAACAATAATAAATAAATTTAATGAATTTCAATTGTCACTCGTTTACATAATAATTATGTTCATTTTTATCCTACGCAACCTTGAGGTTATCAACCGAAGAACCTTCCTAGGTAACTAACAAGTGGCAGCTGTAGCTTTTTTCAATTAATGTTGTGATTCTTATGTAATATTACCATTATTTATTGTGTATACTGTACCATTTTATATACCCATTTTAATATTTACTATTAAGCATAAAACAAACCAAAAGTATTACTAGGAATTAAAATAAGGTTTTAATTCCTAGTAATACTACTTATGTTTATCTCATAACCAAACTATTTGTTTATGAATAGTTACTATGTTTATTATTTGAGTTATGATTCATAAAAATTAAATATCAGAAAGTAATATTATTATATGTTTATTATTTATCCCTAAAACCACAGATAACTTATATACTCATGTATTCTAGAATATTCCAATTATATTAATTTTTTAAATAAGGTTATTGTGCATTGTATCTTATGAAACATTTAACAAAAATTTTACATAATTTTTGTACATATCCATTAATATCTTAATGATGACTAATATTATTGTGACATCAAATTTTATATAAAAATGTAGGATTTTTATAAATCTGTAATGTAGCATGTAAACCAATGTAGTATTACCATTCTATGTTTTGTTGTTATTTCAGGTGTATCTCTGAACAGCGATCACAAATCTACATTAGAGTATGCAAAAAATAGATTTAGTCAACTCTCCAGCTACTACACCAATTTGTCTTCTAGTCCAATCTCTTGTCAAGCAACTTTGTTCATTACTAGAAAAAGACATGTCTAAGGCAAACTATCTCTACAACACTATTTGTGAGAAATTACATAGCATGAAACTCAAAGATGATTCATATGCTATGGGAGAATTTGAAGCTATGAGAAGCCAGTATCAGCAAGCTCTTTACCAACTGGTATCGATAGCAAGTGGTTCTGAAATACCTCTAACTTTACCAGCTACATGGCCTATTACAAGATGTGGTCTAGAATGGTCCCGATATCACAAAGAATTTGAAGAACTTTACTTTATTGCTAGAGGTGGTTTTGGTACTGTATTTAAAGCCCGCCACAGATTGGACGGAGTTGAATATGCTGTTAAGAAAGTATTCATCAAGTCTTCAGATGTTGATTCCATTATGTCTCATCGTGCTGAAGTTAAAACTGTAGCTAGTCTTAACCTTATAGTTAATTACAAAGCAGTCTGGTTGGAACCTTTAATAGAATCAACTGTCAAAAAGAAACGCAAATACTTCATGGATACAGACAGTGATGAATCAATAAATTCAAACTGTGTTTCATCAGTATACTCAAATTTAATGAAGTCATTTAAAACATACAATTCAAAAGAACTAACAAATAAACATTGCCAGTCAGATTTTGTTATATTTTTTGAAAACTCAAAGTTAATTTTAAGGTAGATTTTGTGTGATTTCGAGAATACTGTGATTTGTTCTTTAATAAAGTTATTTTTAGTTAAATCACTTCGTAGGTTATTTTGAATTGTTTTTTTTAAATTTGATTATCACTTCTGGTTGCTAAAATCAGAAGTGGGATAGGATTTCGCTCACAAATAGGCCTTGTAAACAACCGTTAATTTTAGAATAAGTTGCCATGTGCTTCCCGTGAACGGTCAATTAGAAGGCCGCCGCCTCGCTCTGATATTGAGGGTAGCCGTCAAAAGCTGTTTCTAATGTGATATTTCCTTATGTTAAGGATGCGAGTGTGATATGTTGGCTTGCGTGCGAGTGTGAGGCAAGTGTGTGCCTTGCGGGTTGAAACGGACTGCCAATATGGTGCAGTCATGGTGTGTTTCTGTCACCAGCAACCTTGAGAAGCGGGCCTCGGCAGACGTGCTTCCTGTGCGCGTGGCGGGCGCTGTCCCGGAAAATGTGTTCTTTGAAGACATATCAGGCGCATGCGACTAATTAGATAAAGATGATAGCAAATTGAAGAAAAAAATTGCCTGCACTGTCATATTTATCACGAATAACATGTGAAAGGTCATAAATGATTACTAAACAGAAAATAAAAATTTCTTAATGTTTTTAAATTAAAGTTCTTAGCTTTAAAGCCCAAGTAAATATTTACTTAATTATTAGATTTAATAATTTATGGGAACAGTATTATACCATTATGTAAGTGAACTAATGAATTGTGCTTTCTGTCAAAAAGCAATTTATTCAATCAGATTATTTAAAAAAAACGAAGGGTCAAAGTATGATGATTAGCCTTTCTTAGTTAAATGACTGTCCAACACAAAAAAAATCAAATCAAATCTTTTTGAGATTAGTGCATTCAACCAAGTCATGAACTTAATTTTAATTTTAAAACATGGTGTTTTGTAAACTTAAATGTATAGAAAGATAAGTATTATGAAGGCCCTTACTGTGAAGATTAGCAAGTTACGTCAAGATAGAAATGTAACAATTAAAATTATCTGATAACATTATTGGACTCTGAAACCATTTCCTCATCGTTTTACTATTGATATTTATTCAACTATCTGTTAACAACGAGTCTATTGCCTCAAGACTTATAGTCCGGTCAATTTAGACCAAAAAATGAGAGTGAAGTTACATAAAGTCCCAACAAGCTGAATTTCAGTGAAATTGTTCAAAACATAATTATAAACAATGTCTAGAGGTTACCCATAATTCCCGTGTAAGGAAAAAATTTTATTCAAGTTCAAATGTCAAAAAAAGGAGTTTTTCGCGATTTTCAGAAAAACCTCAGACAAAAATCGTAGATCATAAAATTATCTGTAAAAAATGTATCAATACTTTTTTTCTTACGAGCCACCGTTTCTGAGATATAACGATTCAAAAAGTTATAAAAGTTGTTAGCGTAATAATATGCACACGTTTCCACGCCACCTATGAGGTAGTGTACTTAGCGCGTTGTTTTTAACGTGGTTTCCCCAGTAGGTCTACACCACGGGTCAGTTGCGATCCTGTTTAATGTAAAACTATTGCAAAATAACGGAAATTTTCAAAGATTGGGAAAGATAAAAGCGATGTAAATTAAAAAAAAGTGTTTATTCGTCTTATTCGTATCGTTATATCGTTCGTCTTAGTCTGGATATAAATAATGCAAATAAGAAGCTAGCATTACCACAGTTTGTCAAACTCAAGAGCCATGAGTTTTTTAGCAATGATAAATGATAATAATTAGTATAATTTTATATGGTTACTTAGTACTTTATGTACAATGACTATTACACAAATTACTTAATATATATTTTTATGTTAGATCAATTGTTGATAATTTTATTTAATGTTTATGTAAGTAATAGATATTATACAATGAATTCCACATTGTGATATTTTTATATAATATTTAACTTGTTGAATAAAGCCTTTAAAACAGATTAGTAAATTTCAATAATACTAACCTATTAACACAGTTTATTAACTGCTATAGGACTTAGACACCTCTGGATTTCTCTCTTTAACTTGACTATCTTATTCCACCATTAAACACCATAATAATAAATAAAATCATGTCGAATTGAAAACCTCTTTTGGTTTTTTGAAGTCGGTTAAAAAGTCAATCATATAATATTTCTAATTAAGTACCTACTCTATTGTGTTACATTAATACCAACTCGTCAAGGTTAGTAAAATATTTTGCATGTAAACTAAGTTTTTATACAAAATTTTTAATTAAACCGAAGGTAATTCAACGTGAGATATTTTTTAAAACAAGTTGTATATGTTATAGATAAGCTACTACAAAAAAATGAAAAACCTTATTTATTAGTAAAAACGTTAAGTCGTCATACGAGATTACGTTAAGTCGTTAATACAGAATGTGTAGAGGACACCCCGCTATGGAGCCATAATCACGCGTCGGTGCGATGATGCATGTTTATACATTTTTTATTTGGGAAATTAATCTCGCTGTTGCCAAAAGGCAATGACAGCTAAGCTCGGGCTGTTTTCAGCCGACACGGACTTTTCCCGGGACCTCGGGTTTGGGCCGCCGCGGGGTCGTCATTCGCCTGAAGTGCAGGACAGCAGCTCACTGGAGTGAGTGAAGTACGTAGTAAAGAATCCCTGTGAAGAAGGCGCTGTTCAAAAGTCTTTATAACATCGACGTGGCCTGCGAGGAACACGCGAAACTAGAGCTCGGCGGAAAATCATCAACGATACTAAGTTAATTAAACACGCATTGTTTGTTTGACATTTGTATGAATAATGTGTGTTGTTGATAAACTCATTTTTATTTCAAAATGTACTTCGATTGATCGAGTAATGAATCTATTTAATTGAACACGCAATGTAAAAAAAAACTAGCCCAGACATGTAGCACTTTACGCCTTGTTCAAAGCAATATATATCTAGGTTTTAGGTTTAGCTGGATACTTCCGGCGTTATATTGAAGGTTACGCTACAAAGACCGCATGTATATCGCGTCTCACTAAGAAAGACGTCTTTCTAATTTGAATGGGGACCCGAACAAGATTGAGTTCGACGAGAGCTCTTAAAGCAATTGACTAGCGAGCCTATACTTGCGATTTTTGACCTGAGCCTTTCCACTGTGTAGTTCACACACTGACGCTAGCAGTGCAGGATATGGTGCCGTGCTCGTGCAGGCCCACACGGATGGTAATAAACGAGTAGTAGCATATTTTAGTAGGGTCACCCAGGGCGCGGAGCCCAAGTACCATTGATATTATGAATTAGAAACGTTGGCGGCCGTCAAGGCTCAGCAACATTTTCGGCATTACCTGGCTGGTATAAGTTTTAAGATAATCAGTGATTGCAATGCCTTGAAGGTCACTGAATGTAAGAAGCATTTTCTTCCACGAGTTGCACGCTGGTGGATTTACCTGCTGGACTTTAATTTTGAAATTCAATATCGTAAATGTACCATGATGGGTCATGCGGATTACATAAGTAGGAATCCACTAGAACGGCCCTTGAACTGGGCGCAGATGGCTCAATCAGCCGACTCCGAGACCGCCGATCTCATACGTAAGCTCGGAGAAGGTAATTTAGATCCCAGACGATACGTATGTCAAAACGATGTGCTCTATTATCGTTATTCACCCGTTGGTGAGGAGCCGCGTTTGCTTTGTTATGTACCTAAGGGTCACAGGCCTAGCTTACTGAGGGTATTCCATGACGAGCATGAACATATCGGGGTTGACAAGACTTGTGACCTAATTTTAAAACACTTTTGGTTTCCCGGTTTAATGCAATTTGTTCGTAAGTATATTATATGGGCGCAAATTCATATATAATGATTATATTGTTACAAAAATATAAAGATTGATATTTAATTCAACTAAATAAATATATTTAAGATAATAATAAACAATATTAAGTATTGATAGTCTGTGGTAAATTCAAAGCATTTAATATTTATGATTAAGGAATTGTCATTCATCATCATTTGGTAATATCGGGGTCAAATTAGTTGAAAACCGTTATATGGTTTATTTTATTTACCAATATTAATGGATCTGCAAATTAACGACTATTTGATAGTCTGTAGTCTTTATAATTAATATTGAAGAAATAGTGTTAGTGTCAGCTGTCATTGTCATTTAATAATGTCAAAGTCGAATTGGTTCGAGGCCGTTAATACGAATGGTTTATTTAATTTGTCAATATTGCTAGATCTATAAATTAATGACTATTCAATGGTCGATAATAATAATGACTCCATAATCATTATTATTATTATTGAAAGTAGTATATTATCATATTACTTTAAACATTTAAAACTTATTAATAATAAATATTAAAGAAATCTTTGACACTCGTTTCTATGACTGCCGTTTGACTCTATGGTCGATTCGGGTCGTGGAACGAGTACACGAAATGTCACGAAAGTAGTCCCTCGGATATTTTTCGAACAAAATTTAACATAGTGGGCAGTGTTGATCATTCGCCCGCCTTCGATATAAAGACCTCAAGTTCCACGGGCTCTGTTGTGGTAGGACTTTTGTGAAGTTTAACATCTTAGTGGATTTTAAATGTCGATTACTGTGAAAAGTTTAGTTAAGTGTTCTTTTTGAGTAATTGTTATTAAAGGTGAAGAGTTCTTTTAAGTGAACCCAAAGAATAAAGTGTTGTTTTGATACTAGTAAACAATTTTCGGAGTAGAGTTGGTGCTATTTCGAGAATACCGGATTACTTCTTTAGAGTTACCTTTAGTTAAATCACTTTTTGGTGTATTTCGATGGGTTGTTTTAATTTGATAATATAAATTCGTTTTTGCGACAAAATTGAACAAGATACATAACGTGATGAAACTAAGTAACTTGTAAATTAAAACCGTTAATTTTACAATAAGTTCTAAAGCTTCCAGTGAACTATTATTTTTAATTGTTCTCATTTAATTGCAGGGTGTCAGAGAAAACTGTATCAATGTATTACATCCGAATGTGTAACATGCGCGCGTGTACTTCATGAAAATTGGTAACGCCCGGGAAAGTCGTCCGCCTTCCGGTAAACGTTCGCAATTGGAGGGGTTCGGTTTGTTCGCTGATGCCAGCAACCATTTAAAGTTTTACGTCGGACAGACGTGCCAACATTGGTTAGATTGGCGGGCAGCTCTGCGGAAGAGTGTTCTTTGATCACATTATCAGGCAGTCACTGGTTGCACGGTATTAAAGTAGGAACTGGTTTCAAGTACAAGCGATGTCAGAATCCAGACGAAATCTTCTTGAGATGGAAGCACGCACACTTTTAAAGCATGGCGTGACTAAAGATTGTGTATAAGATTCGAATAAATGAGCACTGTGGAAACGACCAGTTGTATACTTAGATGAGACACTATATAATATAGTCGTTATCATACAAAAACGTTGTTGGACAGAGTACGAGGAGGAGACCATCAATGATCGTCTCATGAGTCATCAGGTACGTCGATCTGGATCCTTCAGCTCATGCGGGAACAAAAGATGGATTCATAA